TTAATTTTTGTTGTTTTCTTTGTTTGGTTTCCCTTTTGCCTTTTACCAAAGTTTATACACTTTGTGTGTATATACAGTATTGTACATGTGAGATTTATTTTAATCACTTCGATCTTTCAAGGAAAAGTGACCACACAATATATTAAACCCCCTCCTGCTACCTACGGAGTGGGGGGCCTTGTGAGTTAGCCCATCATTGCACTGTTGTGGAACTTGGCTTGCATTTTTTCTTTTTACACTTTATGGGGACCATCAAGGGCATAAAACCCCCCCCCCCTGATTGTTTTAAAGGGGACCGTTACGGTCGCTCCACCATAGCAAAAAATATACTAATGAAAACATACCTTTCCTTTGTTTTTGTTTCTCAGGGAATACACTATAATACACTTACAAAAAATTGTCATGGAATACACTTAATCACTTACACAATTGTCAGGGAAATACATTTAATACACTTACAACACTTGTCAGGGAAAACACAAGTACACTTACAAAAAGTTGTCAGGGAAGCACTTAGTAACTTACAACAATTTGTCGGGGAAGACCATAGTACACTTACAACAAGTTTAGGGAAGACACTCAGGTGCCACAAAACACTCCCAGTTCAAACATTATAACATGAAACTTTATTGTTAAATCTTTCACAAGTAGTAGCTTCAGATGCGGGATTTCATTCAGATTCAGTGTATAGGGTAGCTTTAAAGGTACTCAAGTGCACCCCCTATTGCCACAAACAAGATAGAAGTCCAGTTCGGTCCAAATCCCTGCAGCATATCTGGTGTTATCATCAAAATACTTCAGTGGTAAAAATTCAGCTCCCCCGGGGCTGTGGGTAGGGGTGGTACGTAAACTGTGCTCTTCACTTCCCCCAAAAAAAATCAAAAACAGTTAGGCCCGGGTGACCTCGCAGGCTATGTGAAGAGCACAGTTTAGTATCACCATACCTGCAACCCTGGGGGGCTGAAAATTTTAGATCACGAAGCAGTTGCATGATAACACAGATACCTCAGAAGTCGGACCAAACGGGACTATCATCATGTTTGCCGAGAAACCCAAAGGGGGGCAATATTGAGTCCCTTTAATGCACCCAAACCACATGAAACTGAAGAAATCTTGCATCTTAAGCTCTAACTGTGAAAAAAATATTACTAAAGTTATTGTTAAACCTGTTTAAATCAGGTATGTTTTTTTTTGGACACACTGTATAAACATTTACAGCAAGCAGTTACAAAAATAAATTAAATAAAAATTACTTTAAATACAATTACAGTAATATTTATAAAAAAAAACATTATTTCAATAAAAGAAGCACAATTTTACTTAATTATTTCCCAAAGGATGTTCATTATAGCATCTCAGAATAAAATATAATTTATTTTTTTTTTTTATTTTTTATAAAACCCCTTCATTTGGAAGGGAAGTCAGTGCCTTCACTTTAAAGGAGACGTTTGGAATTGGCATTTGGAAGGGGTATGTTTATATATGCTTCTAAACTGTTTTTTATCTGGGGGCCTTTTCAAAGACAGTGATTATTGTAGTGAGGTGAAAGTGTTGAATATGATGAAAGTAATTTTTTTTTGGGGTTTCTTTCATTTTTGGGGCACCCGCCTCGGGGGAGACGACCGACATGTTTAAAAAAAAAAAAAAAGAAAATTTTGCAAATTTGCTTCTTTTTTTTTTTTATTTTCACACCGGGCCCATTCCCACCAAGGCAGGTGGCCCCAAAAAAAAAAAAAACTTCACCATCATTACTCCACACTGTCTTGCCAGAAGGGTCTTACACTACAGTTTTTAAACCAAAAATTTAAAACCCCTCCCTTTAAGTGCAGGGCCCGTACTTCCCATCTCCAGACTCAAGTCCGGCCCGCCGGTTTTTCCCCGAATCCCTTCAAAATGTTACTTTTCTCAATCCAACACCGTCAAGTATTAAAAACCATTTGTCTCCATTCCTCCTATCAAAAAACGCAAAACCCTGCCTGTGGGAAATCCAAGCCCCTCGCACACAAAAAACCCCCTTTACCCCCCCCCTCCAACCCTTTCCCGGCCGACCCCCACCCCGCCTTCCTTCCACTACAGACTGATACATCTTTAAGTCATTCTGTTTCGTCCATTCTCTCTACATGTCCGAACCACCTCAACAACCCTTCCTCAAACCCTCTGGACAACAGTTTGGTAAACCCGCACCTCCTCCACTTCCAAAATACAATTTCCTCTATTATTTCACCCACACATTGCCCCCCAGAATACATCTCCACTCCTCCAGCCTTTTCCTCCTGCAACATTCATCACCCACGCTTCACCCCATAAAGAGCGTTGGTAAAACTATCTCTCTACTTCCCCCTTTGCCTCCAAAGGGGACAAAGTTCCCTTTGTCTCCACAGACTCCTAAGTGCACACTCACTCTTTTTCCACTCATCATTTATGATTCCTCATCTTTCATAGAACCCTCCGCTGACACCGTCCACTCCCCAAAAATATCTGAAAATACGTTTCACCGTCCTCCATAAATACTCCTTTCTGTCCTAATCTGAAATCAATTCAATCATTTCATCACCTAATCTTTTTGTACAATAACCTTACTCTTTCCTGTATTCACCTTTAATTTTCTTCTTGTGCACAACCCTACCAAATTCATCCACAATCCTGCAACTTCTTTCAAATCACCCAAGAGCAACAGTGTCATCAGCCAAAGAGCAGCTGTGACAACAAATCCACTTGTGTGTGGATCTTATCTTTTAAAACTCATCGCCTCTTGCCAAGACCCTCGCATTTACTTCTCTTACAACCCATCTATAAATATATTCAACAACCACGGTGACATCCAGCACATCCTTGTCTAAGGCCTACTTTTACATGGAAAAAAATTTCCCTTTTTCCTACAAACTCTTTAACTTGACCTCACTATCCACAGAAAAACTCTTCACTGCTTCAGTACCTACCTCCACACCAGACACTTGCAACATCTCCACTGCCCCCCTACATCCACCTCTGTCATAACGCCTTTTCCAAAATCCATAATGCAACAAAGACCTCTTTAGCCTATCTAAATACGGTTCACTTATTATGTTTCACTGTAAACACCTGGTCCACGACACCCTACCTTTCTCTAAGCCTCCTTGTTCATTCTGCTATCTATTCTCCGTTTACCTTAATCGTTTTTCAATTATAACTTATACATACACTTTACCAGGTACACTCAACAGACTTATCCCCAATAATTTTTTGCACTCTCATTTTTTTCCCCTTTGCCTTTATAACAACGGAATACTATGCTGCTCTCTGCCAATCCTAGGTACCTTACCCTCTCCAATACATTTATTAAACAATTGCAACCAACCACTCTCAAAACTGAATCCCCACCTGCATTTAACATTTCTATCTTATTCCATCAATCCCGGGCTGCCTATTACCCCTTTCATTTTACTACTGTCCTCACGTGAACTTCCCCCAACACTCACAACGGCTCTTCCTCACTCCTACAAGAATGTTTATTCCTCTCTTGGCCCTGTACCACGTGGAAATCACAGCTTCCCTATCTTCATCAACATTTAACAATTCCTCAAAATATTCCTTCCATCTTCCCAATACCTCTAACTTCTTTATCTTTTTAATAATTTACACAGAAGGGGATGCTAGCCCTTGCTTCTGATATTTTAGTTGTATTTTACAACACACATGGCTTACAGAGTGAGAATTCTCACCCACTTTCCCATGGAGATAAAGGAAGCACTATAAGAACAAGAACTATTAAAAAAAAAAAAAACTCAAATGAGTGTGTACACACACGTATATATGCCCAGCTGCATGCATAGTATGAATTAGGTGTAAGTAAAAGGAGGGGTGTTAATGTTGCAGTTTAAAAACTGTAGTGTAAAGCACCCTTCTGGCAAGACAGTGATGGAGTGAATGATGGTGAAGTTTTTCTTTTTCGAGGCCCACCTGCCTTGGTGGGAATCGGCCAGTGTGATAATAAAAAAATAAAATAAAACAAAAGTAGCAAGATGTACCTATCAAAATTGTGTTTTGGGGGCAGAAAGAAAAGACGCCATCAATCCTGCCATTGTGTGAAACAATAACAGGTTTCCATCTCTCACTCTATTGGCAGTATGGTAGTACTGTACCTTCCTGGATGGTTGTAAAAGAAAATGTTAGTGAGAGTGTTTGCCTCTTTTTCAGGATGCCTTGTCTTGCTAGGAGATGGCCAGTGTCTTAATAAAAAAAGTATCAATCCATAAGAATTTATTAAATTTTTATGAAAATTTGACTTGTTTGATTATTCTGACCATAAAATGTGCATGTTGATGTGCACACATGCAAACACATGTACACACATGCATGGACACACATTTGCACACATTTGCACACGTGCACATGCACACACACTCACATTCACACACTCACTCACACAATCACACTCACACACACACACACACTTTTACACACTCTTGCAAACTCACTTTCTAATTATTTTACTTTCAACTGTACAGTTTTTAATCAATATTTGTTGTTTTTTATCTGAGTCTTTTCAGTTGCTATTTTCAATGAAAACTGTTAAAATATTTGAAAGCAGGCTTGAGTATGGCCTTAATTTTTTCAACTTAGCTACAATATTTGAAATATTAAACTTGTATTGTTAATGTGCAGTCTGGAGACATTAAGCTCAGGAATCATTTTGTGAAAATGAAAAAATGTATGACTTATTTAGTTGACAAAGCATAAAACACTGGTGAATATCATGACTTTGACAAAGCATAAAACACTGGTGAATATCACCACTTTGTCCCACTAGTCATTGCTAAGTAGAGAGCCACATTATCCTAAGCAAATAAAATTCTTTTGTAACTTTTTAACAGAAATTAAAGAGTAACAAATCTTGTGCATTGCAACACTTAACTGGCCGATATTTATTTCACGATAAAAAAAAGATTTGCACAAAATCGTCATGGGAGAAAAGTTAAATCAGTTTAAAATAATGACTATAAACAATCATTACTCCTCAGGACGCTGCTACAGTCCAACGAGGCGTGCTTACTGCAGGGGTCAGCAGATGCAGAGAGGGTCAGGATACAGCGGGAGGAGGCCTCATACAGGCAGGATATGACCAAACTGGATAAGGATCTCTGGTAGGTAGTAAATTATACAGTGGTACCTCGAGTTTCAAACAGCTCCCAACTCGAACAATTATGTAAGTGTATTTTTGTAAGTGCTTTTGTAAGTGTATTTTTGGGGTCTGAAACGGACTAATCTAATTTACATTATTCCTTATGGGAACAAATTCGTTCGGTAGTGGCACTCGAACAGCCTTCTGGAATGAATTATGGCCGAAACTCAAGGTACCATTGTATTTTATCTAAGAATAGAAATTTTAATGAATAATTGAGGAAGATGTCTGATTACTGAGCATAATAGAAATAATAAGCTTCAATAGTTTGAATAGAAGTAGTCAAAAATATTCCCTATGTGAATGAAGACATGTTGATGCTGTTCCTCTAACATTGAAATTAGAAGGTTTAAGCAATGCTCCAGCATGTCTGAAGGGCACTTGTGAAAGTAAATATTCATTAGACCCGATAGATCCATTTGAACAATATAGCTATCTGAATAGAAACTCATTATACAGATTCCGTATTAGCTCAGATTCAACACCATTGCGACTGAGATCAAGAAGGTTTTCAGAATTTTTTTTAGCTTGAGGTACTAATAAAAAATTAGGTACTGTATTATAAATCTAATTTTTTGAAAAACCTATTTAGAAAAAAAAAAGTTTGTGGTAATACTAACTTGGAGTTGTGTTCATGTGATATTGGCTCTAGGTCAGTGATGGAAGTACAGTAGGGCCCTGCTTTACGGCATTTCACCTTACAGCGCCCCTAATATGGCGATTCAAATTACGACCAAAATTTGCTATGGCAACGTCTTTCAATATGGTGCACCCCACCGGGTTTATTTACGTTTCTGTGAGCACATTCTGTTAGTCTAGAAACTTTCCAAATTTTCAAGTGTTTTAAAGTTATTGATTTTATGTATTCCCTGATAATTATGCTAAGCTCCCTAAATAACTTCAATGGCTGGCTGCAGGTACACATAACCCTTTCTGACTTTTTAGTCGAATTCGTCTTACGAAGGTTTGTAGATACAATCAAACTAGGGTCAATCAAGCAAGAGTGCTGGTAGGCCCATGTGAGAGAAGGGTCTTGTGTGGTCGTGTGACCTATCAAAAAAATTCCTGCAGCACGGCAGTGATAATGAGAAAAAAACTCACCCCATTTTTTATTAAATGTTTCTCTATTTGTGGCAGTTTTTTTGTATTGATAGTTTGATTCTCTGTTTCTTCTCATTTGAAGAATTGAAAAGACTATAAAATAGGAGTATTGATGTTTGTGAAAGGAACATTGAACTGGAGTCAAATAGGGGAAAGTTTGATTTTGCTGATTTTAAATAAAAAGATCGTCTTTCCTAATGTTCAAGTATTCTAAATGAGTCATGAATGGGTTGCTTATTACAATTATTCAATAATGCAGTAGCTGCATAACAGTAATTTACTTTTTGGTCTGAATAAAAATTCAAATGAAAAGATAGTAATATCAGAGGGGCTTGGAGATGTGACTGATGAACAAAGAAAATGTTATTTTAGAGCCAGGAATGTCTGCATTGTTCATTCTGGACCCTATTTTGAAACTCATATTTTTTAATTTTTGTGAAATTGGCCAAATTGCAAATTTCTAACCACGTTATTGGGTAATTGAAATCGGTAAATGGGCAGTTTCTTGTACTCAATCGCTAGAAAAATGCAGTTCTAAAGAAATAGCTATGAGTTTGGTCGACTAGAACAATGGAATTAGCCGAAAATAGGGCTCAAAATGGGCGAAATCGCTGATTCGTAAATACTGCTGAGGTCGCTAACTTTGCGAGAGCGTAATTCTGTCATTTTTCTACCAAATTTCGTTCTTTTGGTGTCATTACAATCGGGAGGAGGAGGCAGTTAGGGTAAGATATAAACAGCTATTGGAGGATAGATGGGCTAATGAGAGCATAGGCAATGGGGTCGAGGAGGTATGGGGTAGGTTTAAAAATGTAGTGTTAGAGTGTTCAGCAGAAGTTTGTGGTTACAGGAAAGTGGGTGCGGGAGGGAAGAGGAGCGATTGGTGGAATGATGATGTGAAGAGAGTAGTAAGGGAGAAAAAGTTAGCATATGAGAAGTTTTTACAAAGTAGAAGTGATGCAAGGAGGGAAGAGTATATGGAGAAAAAGAGAGAGGTTAAGAGAGTGGTGAAGCAGTGTAAAAAAGAGAGCAAATGAGAGAGTGGGGAGATGTTTTCAACAAATTTTGTTGAAAAATAAGAAAAAGTTTTGGAGTGAGATTAACAAGTTAAGAAGCCTAGAGAACAAATGGATTTGTCAGTTAAAAATTGGAGAGGAGAGTTAGAGGTATTGGGAAGATGGAGGGAATATTTTGAGAAATTGTTAAATGTTGATGAAAATAGGGAAGCTGTGATTTCGTTTTTATAGGGCAAGGAGGAACAACATCTTGTAGGAGTGAGGAAGAGCCAGTTGTGGTGTGGGGGGAAGTTCGTGAGGCAGTAGGTAAAATGAAAGGGGTAAGGCAGCCGGGATTGATGGGATAAAGAAAGAAATGTTAAAAGCAGGTGGGGATGTAGTTTTGGAAAATGGTTGGTGCCCTTATTTAATAAATGTATGGAAGGGGTAAAGGGACCTAGGGATTGGCAAGAGAGCATGCATAGTTCCTTTGTATAAAGGCAAAGGGGATAAAAAAAGAGTGCAAAAATTATAGGGGGATAAGTCTGTTGAGTATACCTGGCAAAGTGTATGGTCGAGTTATTATTGAAAGAATTAAGAGTAAGACGGAGAATAGGATAGCAGATGAACAAGGAGGCTTTAGGAAAGGTAGGGGGTGTGTGGACCAGGTGTTTACAGTGAAACATATAAGTGAACAGTATTTAGATAAGGCTAAAGAGGTCTTTGTGGCATTTATTGGATTTGGAAAAGGCGTATGACAGGGTGGATAGGGGGGCAATGTGGCAGATGTTGCAGGTGTATGGTGTAGGAGGTAGGTTACTGAAAGCAGTGAAGAGTTTTTACGAGGATAGTGAGGCTCAAGTTAGAGTATGTAGGAAAGAGGGAAATTATTTCCAGTATAGTAGGCCTTAGACAAGGATGTGTGTGATGTCACCGTGGTTGTTTAATATATTTATAGATGGGGTTGTAAGAGAAGTAAATGCGAGGTCTTGGCAAGAGGCATGGAGTTAAAAGATAAAGAATCACACATAAAGTGGAGTTGTCACAGTTGCTCTTTGCTGATGACACTGTGCTCTTGGGAGATTCTGAAGAGAAGTTGCAGAGATTGGTGGATGAATTTGGTAGGGTGTGCAAAAGAAGAAAATTGAAAGTGAATACAGGAAAGAGTAAGATTATGAGGATAACAAAAAGATTAGGTGATGAAAGATTGGATATCAGATTGGAGGGAGAGAGTATGGAGGAGGTGAACGTATTCAGATATTTGGGAGTGGACGTGTCAGCGGATGGGTCTATGAAAGATGAAGTGAATCATAGAATTGATGAGGGGAAAAGGGTGAGTGGTGCACTTAGGAGTCTGTGGAGACAAAGAACTTTGTCCTTGTAGGCAAAGAGAGGAATGTATGAGAGTATAGTTTTACCAACGCTCTTATATGGGTGTGAAGCATGGGTGATGAATGTTGCAGCGAGGAGAAGGCTGGAGGCAGTGGAGATGTCATGTCTGAGAGCAATGTGTGGTGTGAATAAAATGCAGAGAATTCGTAGTTTGGAAGTTAGGAGGAGGTGCGGGATTACCAAAACTGTTGTCCAGAGGGCTGAGGAAGGGTTGTTGAGGTGGTTCGGACATGTGGAGAGAATGGAGCGAAACAGAATAACTTCAAGAGTGTATCAGTCTGTAGTGGAAGGAAGGCGGGGGTAGGGGTCGGCCTAGGAAAGGTTGGAGGGAGGGGGTAAAGGAGGTTTTGTGTGCGAGGGGCTTGGACTTCCAGCAGGCATGCATGAGCGTGTTTGATAGGAGTGAATGGAGACAACTGGTTTTTAATACTTGACGTGCTGTTGGAGTGTGAGCAAAGTAACATTTATGAAGGGGTTCAGGGAAACTGGCAGGCCGGACTTGAGTCCTGGAGATGGGAAGTACAGTGCCTGCACTCTGGAGGAGGGGTGTTAATGTTGCAGTTTAAAAACTGAAGTGTAAAGCACCCTTCTGGCAAGACAGTGATGGAGTGAATGATGGTGAAAGTTTTTCTTTTTCGGGCCACCCTGCCTTGGTGGGAATCGGCCAGTGTGATAAAAAAAAAAAAAAAACAATCGGGAAAAGATTTTCTATCATTTCATAAGAATTTTTTTTTTTTTTTTTTTTTTTTGAAATTTTGCGACACCAGAAGACACCTCAGGATTTGGGGTTGGGACAGTCAAGGGGTTAAAATCACTAAGAGTCTCTCGACTCATGATGCCATAGGAATACTATGTAATAATAATCTCTCTTGGGCACATTAAATGTCTTATTTTAAGTTAATATAGACATTTTCATTAATCCATCTATGATATTTTCTTTAAAATTATATAATAAACACGTTACATGGCATATAAATATTATTTATACATACACCCACAAAATAAAAATTGACATAAATATGATATTTGTTTACAAAGAGGCTTTGTAGGAATGACGGAAGAATTACGTTTTCTCTAGTCAAACACTTGGGGAAAACTGTAGATAAATATTCCTTTTGTATGCCTTCACTCTGTATATAGCAATTCATGACCCTTGTGAGTTTAGTACTTCTTTTTATTATGATTATAATAATAATAACTTGTAATAATATTTTTTTTTTATTATCACATGGGCCCATTCCCCCCAGGCAGGGTGGCCCGAAAAAGAAAAACTTTCACCACTTCCCCCATCAAGTCTTGCCAAAAAGGGGCTTTACACTACGTTTTTAAACTGCAACATTAACCCCTTCCCTTTATAATAATTTGTCAGAGCCATTCCTTCAAAAAATTTCATTGAGATGGAAAGTGTTGGTCTTTATTTATTTACTGTACCCCGTGGAGACAATTTTTCACAATGTGAGGGTTTGTAAAAATT